ATGGGAAAAGGTGTAGTGCTTACAAGTCTCGGAAAATTGGAGCAATACACGATTCAATAGTAACACCTCCGGAGAAATCAGTGTCACCAAAAAACACAATGATTAGCACTATTAGGATTAACAATTAATTCCTGAGGAAAATCTATTCCGAGTTGTGAAGCATTGTGGAAAAAATCCTTGTGAAATTCCGATGATATACGAACAATCAGGACGTAGCAGTATATTTTNTTTGGATCTAGTTGTATATATACAACTAGATCCAAATAGAAAAGGAGAAGAGCACAAACAAGCAGAGATATCAGAAGTTAGCGAGCTCCTCTAGAAGAGTTGGAAAACTGATTCTTAAACCGGATGTTTATCGTGGTCACGATGAGCATTGCCGGTTCGACGGGACGTAAGGGGCGATTCGGACGTGGGAACCAAACTCAAAGGGCATTTGGACACCGGCTCCGAATGGATTGTGGTCTTCGAAAACCGTCCTGATTTGTGAGCTAGGACTCGACTGACCGAGGACGGGTTAGCAAAACACTGTTTTACTTGGATCGATTCAATCGTTGCGATGATTCTTGAACCATGATTGGGTTCGGACACGTTTAGAATATAATATAATATAATGTATAACTTATGGTTACAAAGTTTAAGTGTCGTCAAAAGTATGAAAGGTTTTGGCAATGTAACCTAATATTGCTAGTTTTGATAAGATGTAAAACCTAGTTGCAGCGGAACTTATTTTCGTCAATGAATAAGGTGACTGTAAAGTTAATCAACTGTGGGCCGTAGTTGATTTTTTCATGACAAATACAAGAATGTGGTTGCATATCCTATTTTGGGTAAACAGTATAATTCAGTTGCTCGGTTCTGTCTCTGATGCGTTTAATAAGCATGATCAAACAAGCCAAATTTCGAAAAACTTCCCCACCCCTTCGCCAAATGAAAATGAAGGAATCAACGTACCGGAAAAAGTATACGCCGACCGAGGAGCTCAGCAAAGGTGCATCCCACACTCCAAATATCCACAGCGTATGAATAACGTGTGGCTTCCATGAGCAATTCTGGTGAACGGTAGTACTGAGTGACTACTTCTTGAGTGAGCAAAGCCTCCCCATACGGATCATCCATACGGGCTAAACCGAAATCACAAATCTGTTCGGTCATGGGATATGATCCCGGAAAAGGGTTCGGGTGAAACAAGTTAAACCGGAAAAGCGACGCAACGTAAACTGACAAGTAAACGGTGAAATCAATGCATCCACATAGAAATACGAACGAAATTAGAAGAAACACAAACTGTTTGCGAAAATAATGCAACAATCCATCGATCATATTGGAGACCATTCGGATTCATGTTATCATTCTGTTTTGATAAACAGTGTTCGGACAATTGCAACCAGTTTTGTTTTAAATAACCATTAACCATGCACTATTCTGTGGTGGTCTTGGTTACTGTCTTTTGGTTGCCTGCTTTCTTGACGGAGTAGAGAAAAGCGTGGAATGCTGAAAGCAGTATCAAGGTGAAAACAGAGAATTCGTGTAGACCGACGTTGCAAGAACACTGAGTAGACGCGCGAGTGCCATTATTGACAACATAACCATATCCTAGTCAAGATTACTTCGAATGGCATAAAATGATGACTTAATTAACTAGAATGAATTCCAGCAACGAACTTAATTGCGAATAAAACACTTAATAAACTAGCAACGGTTTTACTAAAATCCAGCACAGAACGGTCAACTGTGGTGAATTTGGATTGTGTTATTGTGAATGTCTGGAATGCAGCCAACACGTCCCGAAAGGTGCTTCAAAGACGTATTTCTAGTCTCATAAAGACAACTGATGTTGAATTATCACACAAAAAATCGTAAATCTTTGTGGAACCTTTCAAATATGCAAAATGGTCAACCGGTTATAAGTCTTCAATTGCGGTGTTTCACAATAGAGGCTTAGTGAATGGTTTTGGTAAAATGTAAGTGAACGTACAAAACGGGAGGATGGCAAGATAAACCATTAAAACTCTGCCATCACTGTGGAGAGCAGTTTTTCTGTGCTTGATTCTCTGGTGTTTCCACCAAACTCAGACTCAAGCTTTTTCATTTTTGTTACTTGATGTTACAATTGGTTTCATGAACTGTATACATTAACTTCGTAAAACATATAACGTTCTGTTGAAACGGAATACTCCGCACGTCTGAATCAAAAATGATGAACTGGTATATACATGTGTGTCTATAATTCACTTAGATCACACTCTGGTCGGTTGTTGTTTCAGTTGTACGACGTCTGAAAGTCAAGCAATCCAATTTCATATCATATAGTCGGTTTTGGTCGGATCGATAAGCCTGAACCACGCCAAATATATGGCCCCACGGTACTTGTGAGTACCTTGAACTCTGGTGGCTACTGCACTGCAACACCATTAGTTACCTTTGTTTAACACACATAATACGGAAATATGGTAACAGTTGTTATTTTATATTAAAAGATTGACTGGGAATAAATAATTGCTTTCAGAAATCCTAAGAATTTTTTCAGGAATTTTTTTTTTCTATGTCTCTGCATAAACAGTGTTCCAGATTCGACTGTTTAAGTTAGAGCTAGTTATGAAGAGCGGAGAGTAAGCACACGAGCGTCCCCGTTTGCACAGTTCTGTCTAAGTCCCTGATCGGAAGATGCAACACAATCGGCTCAACCAAGTTCAGTACAGTACAAGCACTATTACAAGAGAGATTCCGTGTATCGAAGTTGAACACATTTCCGATACTGTCACAAAACCATCCGGGATACTCTACGTGGGGTGTCCTCAGAATCGCAACCCTGGAACAACACGTGTTTGCCTCATACGGAAAAAGCACGACGAAACTCAGCGCTGACAACGTTCGGTTAGTTGCAGTCACACTTAAACAAGCCACATCATACGCACACAGGCACGCAATCACTGATCGGCGCTACACATATAGTACATGTGGTACACATGCGATAAAAATTTTTGATCTGCGTCTCGGGGAGAATGCTGTCAGATGAGCTGCCCTGTGTCAATCAGTGGCATCGTTCGAATCCACAAAGGTAACATACAATCATGGCAACGATTTACCAAAAGCCTGTTTGAGAAAGTACTCCTCGAGAAGCAGAGCAGAAGTTTCTGTCGAAACTGCTAAAGTGTATGAATGACACGAAGAGAGAGATATGGAATTGTGCATAGACCCCAAGAGTGGCAATAACCGCGAAAACGGTAGTATGCTTACGGGGAAAATTCGTCTCGTTGTTCAGAAACTATTCATTACTTCAGATTACCCGCAGCGATTGATATCTAGACAGATCATGTTGATACCGTAATGAGCCACGTTATTCTACCAAAACGAGATGGTGCATCCAGAGTTACGGTGCACGTAATTCGCACACATGTCATTAGTTTTTCTCCAACGTGCACGCGTTTTCAGTCGCGTACGTGCGTTTTGTGTGTGTGTGTGTGTGTGTGTGTGTGCATATTAGATGGTTGATTCGGGCATGATTCTTTCTAGTGCCAAAAATGAGTACTATATGTGATTCACACACACACATACACACACACACACACGCGGAATTCTGCTGACTCAGTATGCGTTTGCCGTAACTGTTGCGTGTGTGTCAGAAATCTCACACAATTTGCGCAAAAACAGCATCGACAACGGCGTGCCATCATCATTCACTCGGAATTCACGCATCACCAGTGGAACGTAGGTTTCCGATGCCAGGTGATCAGTCAGGTCTCTTTTTACAACAAATAACGAACTCCATACACCAGAGTGTAACTACAACTTGCAAACACTATCACTATAGATGCACGGTCTGTTGGACAGGACGGGAACCAAATTGAAATGAGTTGCGCGTCACACGGACTTTCTCTACGGTGGCTCATTACGTTAAACCTTGCTTGTTGTGTGCTCCAGTTTTATCTTAAATATTTCGGCATTTTGGAGAATGCCACTTGAATTGACTACAAAAGAACAGTTGTATTCGTTACAATTTCTCACGAACAGTTCTGAAGAACAACTTTGGAAAGAGGCTAATTTATGAGAATTTTTAGTTCAGACAACCTGATGTATTCTCGCTTGGTAGTGTTCAGTTAGAATAATCCTCAGAGCTATCGCATTTCTACACACCCACCTGCAGACTCCCTATGATCTATTCAAAATGCTTCACCATTGGTTCTACCTTGATAGCAAAAAGCGATTTGGCACAAGAAAGAGGCAGGAGAGACACGACCACATCGCGCACTCGAAAAAGAAGAATGCGTAGGTTGATCCACTGAAATCTTGGAGACATTCACGAGAATATTAAACAGCACGTTTCGTCACCGCCCAAATTTTATCCGTAAGTGTCAACCGGTTCGAGTTGTCCTCTTCAGACTGAAAGGGGATTCGACAGAATGGTAGCAACTATGTACCCTGTAACTTTTAAACCTATCCATAATGAACATTGATAATTACTGCAGCAATCGGTTATCCAATTGAAGTGACTCAAAGTTGTGTGCATAATAGGCTGACCAGGTTGGATTTGCAGATGTTCTCAACTGGGTAATCCACCGGAATTCCAATCTCCAGTATGCTGCCTATGAACCTCCTACATGGACTTGCTGGCTGGTGTTGACATTTAGGTGTTCAGTGGTGCACTAACACTGGACAAATGCTCTTTGAGTGACTAATGGACCATGCCACTCACAGTAATGTAAACGTTTTGCATCGATCGATGATCCATGCCAGTCAATGATCAATGGGGCCAACACACGATCGAAATCGCACCGAGGTGATTATCCGTGATATCTCAGGATATCAAAGATAGTAGATTGCATGTGTAACAATTTTGGAATTATTAACCTGAGGCTGTCGACGTTCATCATACTATGCTCTCGAAATCGGTTTTGATTAATCAGCAGATCGCCAAAATCATATTCGTAGTTTGTTAAAAAATACCTTGCACGCAAGGTTCCTTGTGTTCATGACCCGAATACGGACCTGTGGTTTTAACCTGTCGGAATATCAAGAGTGAATATACCGGATAAACAGAGGTGGATAATTTTTGCTTCGTTTCTATTCTTTTTACGAAATAAACTTCCTATGTGGATGCTTAAAACTTAGAATTTGTGTTTCAGTTTCATTCATGCAAAACATTCAAGCACTCGGAAAGAGTGATTGTCACGTAGTTCGTGACACCACTCAGGTTTTTGATCAACGATCTTTTCGCCACATGGAGGCAAAAGTGACTGAGTTCAAAATATGAAGGCGATATCGTCATGTCGGTCGGAATACTTTGATCCTGTGGTACTACAAATCAGCGCGCAGTTTGATCAGCAAGATGCTCACGTGTGCCGTTTATGACATCTTTCGATAACAACATTTATGCTATGATAGATGCAAATTACTCGATTTGCCGGGAAAAATGTTACCGTTTGGAGGTTGAATCTTTACCGTTTATGGGACTTATCTGATCGGGGTGTCTATCGCTTTTTAAAGGCCTTTGATTGTGATTTTATGCGCGTAAAAAAATTCACCTCTAAGGGTTCTCTATCTTTCGGAATATACATACACATTAGTTAATGTGAAGACTGCTATTATGGATGAGCTAGAATGCCAAAAAAGCAGTAGGAATACACTGTCTGATTATCAACCAAAAGGTAAGACGTCGCACCGAAACATGCCACTTTGATGATGAGAAATAAACAATAAATCACAAGACGAAGCAATGAATTCCCCCCCTCCCCCATTCAACCCGAATTTCTTTGTACCTCAAATTATACAGACAACACCGGTCTCAACAATAAGAGATCTAAGCGACCATGTTGCAACAACTGTCTTTAAGAGCTTAGCGGCGGGGTACAGATCACGTTTTCAGCGCCAACCCCGACTACTACCCCATTTCTGGACAATAGGATGCAGACAGACATCCATGGCCAAGCGTCACGTGACCAAGTCGAATCGCGCGCGCTTCGATCGCCTGTCCGAACGACTGTATGACTGACTGACGCTATCCCGTTTGTATATTGGCGCGGTGTTTCAATCGGCATTAGACACACAATCATGCGTTCATTAACATTTCGGACGAGCTGAGATCTGAAGTGTGTCTGGCTAGTCGGGGAAAAAAGGTTTACAAAAAAACGAGATAAATTTGTGACTGCCGGATATGAAAATATCAAAACCACACGTGAATAATTCGGGAATGGTTCTTTCTCCATCCTCGTTTCCCATCTACCGACGAGTTCACCAGCCTATTTACTGAAATATGCTGACGACATAGCCCCTTGCCAGGCCACTTCTGTGTCTGAGGGCTTTCTAAACTGTCCCGGTAATCTGTCCTATACTCGTTGATTTTTCGTTGGATTGGGACTGACCCTCAATTAGGCTAATTGCTTCGAATGCATTTTTACCCTCTTCGGTCCGGATATCCCCGTGAATCCTCGGTCATAAACACAGAACCTCTGACTAGAGTAATAATGCTGAGGTTGGGTGAAGACTTTTAGGTAATGGCGGTCGCCCATTGGAACAAGTGGTCGGCCTCCATAGATTGTGCCGGTTGCTGCATGTATTACGCATGTACCCGAATAGACTACCTCGGCTCGCGGTGTTTGCCGAGGCAGGTAATGGGTGGGAAAAGCCAAGGGTCGTCAAAATAAGATCTGACTTGAAGGTATGAAAATCCTGACCAGGAGACTGTCATACAGGTCACATTAGGTTCCCTGGATGAGGACATCGGGATCATTGCAATCAATAGTAAGAGACAATGAGTGAAATGGCTGATTGACGTAAACAGTGGCGCTCTTGCGTCTTCTCAATTTCTTTGCAACGTCAGTCCACTGAAATTCTCCATTTCCTCTTCGACTCTACTTCAACTTTCCAATCTTCCTTCTGCCCCTTTATCCAAATGGGCAACCGAGGAACAGCAACCACAACCGCGCACAAAAAGGCATGGTTATTGGTTGTACAAACTAAATTGGAGTAGATTCTGTGAAATATTTAGGTTACCATCGACACAAATTTTAAATGAACATCCCATATCTGCAACTGTGCAAAGAACCTCGTGAATCATCTTTTTAGCTTCGAAGACCCAGACGCTTCAAAGCCAATCAAAAATAGTTTCGCTTTGTGTTTATTAATGTGTTTTCCCTATTCTTCTTTGTTGTTCCCCCAGGGTTTCTGCCGGTTCACTTGAGAAAGAGTTAACAATTCTTCGTCACGGATTGTCGATTATCAGTCCAGTCGAGTCTTTTATGACCGTTCATGATCCATTCACCAAGTTGAGTGAACTATAATTGTCCGTATGCGAAAAATTTGCACAGGAAATCCTTTTTGACCCGACTCATGTTCTATATGGTGATCTATCCAAATGTCGCTCACAACTCAGCATGTTCTGGACATCGTTTCTCACCCTCTCGCATTGTTATCCACACCAATTCTATCGTTCTTTGTCTGGTTAGAATCTTTACAAGTCTAGTGAATTTCACAGAAACTTTCAAGCTAAAATGCCTTATTCGAACTATCTCGTTCTTCGCAATGAGATGATGCCTAAATCTGCCTGAAAGGCGAACATTTGGTCCTTACAAAAATCCCTGTAAATAAAATACACTACAAATGTCAGATTATTCTCGAACAACTTTTACAACAGCATAGCTGATAGCAACGATATTCAGAAAACTAACGTTCTGATTCTGTTCACCATTGCCAGAAAATATCAATAAATGAAGAGAGTAAAATGATTTTACGAAGAAAAAGCGAATACAATGCCTCGTGTTGGTTGTCAGGTTCAGTAACTGACCTTTAGAAGACAATTGGAGTTGACCAGCATGTTGCCTGGTTTGATATCGCGATGAATGATGCGCGCTGAATGCAAATATTTTAAACCTGGGAGGAGGAAAGAAAATCGAAGAGAAATACAATCAGAGGGTGTAGCATTGGAAAAATCTATAAAGCACAGAATCATAAAGCACGCACAGATTGTTTATTTTTTTCTTTTCGCTAAAAGTGAGATGCATGCATCAAACCGCAAAACATGAGTCGAGACCGGACTGAGCTAAGCGTGTCAATTGACCCGATGATATACGCCCTTCGTAATCTGATTGTGAGTACGGTGAGGAGAGGGGAGGGCAGGGGGGCTCGTTCAACCACAGTTTGGAGTGTGCGTGATTCGTCCGACGGATCGACAATCGACAAAATGAATGTGGACCAAACGAGCGGGTTACCAACATCTGGTCGCTCCAACGAATCGTTCGACTATCGATCGTGACGAATAACAACATGCAGTTCAAAGTTCATGGTGTGGGGACGCATACCACGAACGTAACGGAAAACACGGCACCATATGAAACAACTTCATGTATCGTTAGATTATCGAGTGGTTAAAACTTGGCTACAGAGCCAAATAGGTCCTAGGGTACACTGACACCGAAAGTGGCAAACCGAAATTTTGCAAAAAGAACTGCGAATCGTTCGTGAAAAGGTCAATAGATAAGATTGATTAACCGAGGTGAACACAGTCAAGTCATGGACGGAGCACAAATTGTCGATGATAACCGAAAATACTGTTTCGTCAGTAGCGCAAATTCTCTTAACATTGTACGTCGATTTTCGTGAGATCAGTTTTTCAGCTTATACATAAATTAATCTGGCATTTCCGTGCAGCGGTCCTGGCTATCCATCTCCATGAAGCAGTGGCAGAAAATAGGAAGATAAGGAAGTCATATTGGTCAAGGTTGTGAAGAAATTGAATGAATGCACGTGTGTCAGACGTCATGAAGCTATCGTCGTAATACTCTCAGGGTATCTAAAACTCGATAACACTGATCCCGAGATCCCTAACCACGAAGCCTAACGCGACCTATATGACCGAGTCCCCAGGTTAAGGCTTTCATCCCCTCATGCTAAGTCTTAGGTGGACTACCCTAATGTTCTTCTCCACACACCCGAATTTCCTCGCACGTGCAGGAAGCCAATCAGGTTGCACAGGTAACACATGTCTAACCAACGTAATCTTTGGAAGTTAAGCACTTGCTCCGGTTAGTGACAAATATAGCAATGTGCGAACACCGATGGTCTGTCTTCGTCCTGTTACGGTAAAGTCTTTGTCCCATATACCAGCACCGATCGAACTGCAGCAGCGTAGGGTAGATCATTCAAGGACAGTCGAATGTCGCGGGTGTCTCAGAGTTGTCTTGTAGTGGCAAACGCTAACCGAGCCTAGGTAGTGAAAACTATGTACTTTCTCTACTACTTCCCCAGTTAAAATGAGATTGGGAGATGGGGCAACCCGGTCCTGCAACAATATTTTACACTTTGAAGGTTCAAAATGTATACCAAACACGACAACACTATCAAGCAAATTATGCAGATACGCTTGCAACTTACCTGGATTTTCACATAGCAGTGCAATATTGTCCGTACATTCAAGACCAGACAAGTTGCTACCTCCATCACGACGAAACTGAGTGATATGCCTGAGTGTCGCTAACAGTGGCGGTCGTGCAACTTTTCGATTTCTTTGCAACCTTAGTCTACTGGAATTCTCCATTTTCTATTCGACTCTACTTTCAACCTTCTAATCTATCTTCTGACCCTTCATTCGAACGGGCAGCCAAAAGACAACAATCCAAACCGGGCATACGAAAGCGCATAGCTGATGGTTGTATAAACTGAAACCGAAATGAATTCGCCACCCGGTAGTGTATTGATGCCACTGTCCTCGGAGGAGGACAAGGCCGTTTCCAGAATATATGTTATAAAGTTGATTAGGAAAGAAGAGATGGCAACGTTTTCCGTGGGTCACTCGGATGATTAAGAGGCGTAGGCTAAGAATTCGCTTTTGGTGTTAGTATAAAGTAAGCGTAAATGAAAAAAAACTTGTTTGATACACCATTGGACGAGAGGCAGCGTCGGAGTAAAGAGCAAGGGACCGAGTGTAAGGCCTATTTTCGTTCAAGGTAGATAGAAATGGTGAATCTAAAGAAAGAATGCCCTTGCTCCGGAATTTGGCAAAGAGCAAAGATAAGGGAGATGCAACCTCGACCAGGTATAAAACCAATCCGGTTCTACTGTGGGGAAGCTTAGAGACAATGTTGGTCAAACTAATTCACGAAATATGCCCATTGATTAAGAACACAACGTAGGCGAACATGTTTTCGATGAATTCCTTTTCCAGCCTTTACAATCACAGTTATACGACACAACTTCAGTGGGATCAAGTAGATGGGTGAATAATTCAGGTGCGAGGTAGTGAGCCCGAGAGAACTCGAACTGATACGCTATTTGGATTACGTAACCAAACTTCATTATGTTACATCAGGGTCATGTGAACAAGCGATTTTCTCTTCCCTCGGCCAAAGGAGTTTGAGAGCTTGGATCAATTTTTGCTGTGCACACAGTTCTGGCTTCATGAGTCACAGTCGCTAACGTTCGAAACCGTAGAGTTTTCGAGGGGTGTGGTGAGACTTGATAAATGATTGTGAATACCGACCGTATATTAACCAAGAGTGCCGTCTCTACCAACTCCAAACAGCGTATCAATTTGAGTTCTCTCTGACTCACTACCACACACCTGAATTATTTACCCATTGATTTGACCCTGTTGAAATCGTTTCATACAGGCGTGATTGTAAAGGCTTGAAAAGGATTTCACCGGAAACATGTTCGCCTACATTGTGTGTTTTGAAACCAATTCCTCGGTGGTTATCACCACAGAACTCATAGCCTTTTTTGTAAATCTTTAGGATGACGGATTTATACAATTCTGTCAGAACTTGGTCACTTTCCCATATTGAACTTGGGATTCTCGTCAACTCTAAGACCGATGGAGAAAACCCATCCAGGTCAGAGACCTTATTTCCTGCAAACGCTTCATTTTGCAGGTCTGATATCGACCGGCAGTTGCTACGACTTGAGGCAGGATTTGGTAAACCTGATGTCAATGAAGACATGCTGATTTGTGCCTTACAATACTCTGCCCAAGAGGGCTTTATTATATGTCGGTTTGTACGCTGTCAAACTCTTTAATGACTTCAATTAGGCTCACGTTATGTGAACCCACAATCCTGCTTAGACGGAGAAAATCGTGACTGTTACCAATAAACGAAACCTTCTCCGTCTGTTTTCATTTTGCTGCCCACCAATTCTCGCGATTATTGCTGAGGCACTTGATGATCTGGCGTTGAAGAGGATTTGTGCGTAGCCATAATTAGCATGAGGAGAAGACGCATCGTTTGGGCACAGATCGTGTGCCGTCGTGGTTTCCATCGGCAATTGAAAAGCTTCGTTGATTAGCTTCCAGTGTTCACGGAGTCGTTCGACAAATGGTTTTGTGAAATATTGCAAACAGCAACAGCTTCCCCCAAAAAGCAACAGACACGGTTCAAGGTGGAGGTGAACTAATGATAGGCAACTTCGGAGAAAGACAAACAACCATTCCACAACCGTTCCTACAAGTCTGAATCATCATGATCATTGTTATTATCCGCAACACGACTAACGTGAATCAACCTTGCTTGGCCTATCGTGTCCTTTGATCTCTGTTCAGACGACGATATGGGAGATAGCGGGTCGGGACTTTTCAAAGAAGAAGTTACACGTCTGGTGGTCGGAGCCGCGAAAAACAATAACAACCCAGACGGATGTCAATTATAGACTAACACAAATAGACGTGCGGACGGAGTTCAAAAAGAATAGACCACACTCCCAACCACCCCAGGTAGACTTCACTTAACTCTCTGTTTAGTTAGTACGTTCTACCGGATCACACGGAAACAGTTTTGTTTCTGTGCGGTTATAGATGGACGGGACAGAATGAGAAAGGAAATTCTGTGATCCGGTGAAAAGCCAAAAGTAAAAGACGTGATTGAGTGTGTGTGTAACAAGATACAAAAAGTGGCGTATCACACTGATGGAAATTTGATCTGCTGCAGATTCGATAATTCGAAGTACAGGCAAGTCGGACATACTGTAGACTGAGGAATTAAAATAACCAAGTCTGTGCGCGACTGGGATGAGCGCAGATCGTCAAACTTGTCACAATCAAATGTGGCAACTTGTCGTATCGTTTGAATCTATACTCAGTATCGATTATAAATCAAACATAAACACCATGGGACCACATTTGTATTGCAGTCGAAAGCGGTCTCCGATTGATTTGTTCAATGATGCATCTAAGTGATTAGAATTTTCCAAAAAGGGCTCGAGCACAAAAGAAAACTCACTGTCGCACAGTGCCCACACTGGTACGATCATGAGATGGTATCGCATTTAAAAAGCAACTTTGAGTTGCGGATTTTTTTGGGCGGAGGGGGGTGGGTGGGCACCAGACATACTATTCCTTAGGTAACGAACGAAGAACAGTGAACCATATACACAATCCAGAGGTGTCATTTGTGATGATACTGGTAAAGAATGATAACGGAACAGTGTGATGCTCCCATGGAACTTACCGCGAAGAATTTGATAGACAAAAATTTTCACATGGTCCAATGAAAGAGGTTGAGGAGAGACGATAATTTTGTGCAAATCCGTTTGCATCAGTTCGAACAAAAAGCATCTGAATTCGCACGAGACGGTTAAGGAAGTGCAATTATACAGGGAAAAGTAGTGAGCTGCAAACCGGAGTTGAGATCAGGACATGCTCTGCTTATAGTCGAACTAGTGAGTCAAGTGGGTAGTATGCTTGCGTTCTACCTGTGAGGTCCCGGGTTCGATTATACCAGTTGGGTCAATGGATTCACCCTGTTCGGATGAGACTCAACCAGGTTGAAATAGTTGTGTACAGTGCTTTCCAGCTCACGCTTCATTCACACCAGTTCATTATATAACTTGCCAAATTTGAGGATTTAGAATGCTCATACGAAGCGAATAAGGTAGTCCCACGAACCACCGAAAAGTAGAATGGGAAAGTCAGTAGCTGAGTTACCGCAAACCATATGCATGTGAAGCTGCTATTGTCTATTTGTAGGGTATTTGTGCAACTCGAAAATACCTACTGATTGTGAAGAATCATTGACAATGATAGAAAGGAAGTAAGTTAGTTCGACAGACTATCAGCGAGAACGATAAGCAGAAATTGATTGGCCGCATATTTAGTTTAAACAAATCAACTAAAACAACCGACAACTGGTGTAATTGCAGTTCCCCCCCCCCTCTGGGTGAGCATGCTAGCACAACAACTAAAACTGAAACATGCCTAGCCGCGGTTAGATTTCTAAACTGCGGTAGTAAGAATGCGCAAGCAATTCAAAACAGAACATCCGGAGCGTGTCTCACCCACGAACACACACACACACGAACACACATTATGCGTGCGTGTGAACAAAGGCGAAACGGGCTGCTGACATGACCGGACGATGACCTCACGTTTTTCGCAGCTGGCCGGGGTCAACTCCATATCACCACCGCGCCAGGCGAACTGTGCAAACGCGACCTGAAGCACGAATGCGAAAGGACAGCTGCTAGTCCCTCTCTCTCTCTCTCTCGCTCTGGCACTCCGACCGGTATGACTCACGCAAGGCCTAGCTGCACAAGCACATCTCGACTGGGTGTGGTCGAAAACTGACCAATGGAAAAAGGATACATTTCGTCGAAGTTCATAAAACGTTCCGTTTTGACCACATCAATCAGATTGACGATCTATAAATGTAAGGGCAAAAAACAATCGAGCTGAAATGTGTGCGTGAGAAACAGATGCATCAGCAAATAGAAATGATGACACCTAATAGCACAAAGGTTTCGAAAACTGTCAAGACTAACGTATTTGCGTAAACAGTCGAATGATACTGGCTGACGCGGACGACTCTTCATTCGCAGTTTCATCTATTTTCTTTGTAGTCGCATAGAATGCAACAGAACAGATTCCACGCTGGTTCATGCACACACTAAGGATTCGATCGATCGATGGGGGTTCAGGTGGCTGTCCGAAGCGATCAATAATATCATCTTACAGTGTAGGACGATCAACCACCGCTTGAATGCTAGCAGTTGGAGCCGGAACAGGCGAGAGAGGGCTACTCAGTGCCATCTGATAGCGTGACGAAGCAAATAAATCCAGCGTGCTCACCCTTTCACCTAGTTCGAATCTCACTGTACTCGACGAAAACGGAGAGCTGGCAAAATTGAAGATGACACTCAGTTTCGGTATGTGTGCTCACTCACTGTGTCTACCAGTAATAACACCTACTATTCTATGTTAAACGGTTTGTTCTATGATAAATTTTCAGAATGTCGGTTTGGGCTCGTTGTCTTTGTCTCAGCCCATGGATACGACCGTGTTCCGTTGGGTTACGAATAGGCTTTGGGACCAGACTAGTCACCGGGACTATCTCCCTCCCAGATAACGGGATGGTGATAGGTGTTTGGGACGGTATTCGAAACACATGAACCGTTACATTAGTTAACAGCTCATAACAAATATACCGCCCCAATGCACTGAAGTTCGCATCATGTTTTCCACGGGTTGGAGCACATCCGAGAAACGTAACATCCTTGGTACCATAGTGTATAACAAGTTTGAGACACAGACATGTATATATAAGCATATTATTCAACCAATTCAGTTATTCGCGTTGTGACATTCCCATTTCTCCATTTGGCCACCACTCACCACTCCACCACCACCACCACTCAGCAGATCAGGAACCAGACCTAACTGATAGCACAATGTGGACATTGGCAGGGGAACAGTAAAATTCTGGCACGGGACTTCAGTAGAACCATACTAGTCCAGGATAATTTTTTTCAAACTAGCAACAGGACATGGAGCATAGCACAACAGAGCATTAGATTAGCCGATATGCGACCATCTAAACAGGGATGAACCACAAGCAGAAAAGTTCTGAGCCGATTACCTCTGAAAACTGAGAAAAGTTCCATACCTAGCGGGGTCTAGTGTGGTCCACAACTCCAAGTACCGAGGTTTAGGCTACCGGTTTCTGCCACTGAACACCACGTTCTCATGACTATGGGTTTTACCCCGTCCGCTGTTCACACTAAGGTAATGTAATAGAAAAAGCAGTAAGATACCAGCAACCCAACTCCTTCGAAGAGGTGCACACTCATCACATTGAAGAGATGAAGTCAATTAAACGACTGTGGTTATCTTAATAACACAACATTGGATCTCATCCACGACGGTGCCAGGGCTTGAAATACCAACAGAGAAAAATGCAGCAACATTAGACCTGAATTCATTACGATAATCGGATAGTCGTTCTCTAACAGAAGTAATCGCTCTACACCGCCTCCGATGGCTT